CATTGTATAAATTTTTAAACAACCACCTCATTAGTTTTAGTCATTCAAATGCAATAACCAAGAATCGAAAGATCACCAAGTAATCCAAATACACGCAAGCTGTTTCTTTTTGCTCTTTTTTTTCACTTTCTCTTCCTGGGGTTCTACTGTTTAGTTACAAAGTTTCAGTTAAAATGTATCTTTTAGAAGTCTTGTTGAAGTTTTATTGTAGATTCTTTTTAATTCCAGGCAGTCTCCTCCCTCTTCCCAAATCCTGCCCTTTTATTCTTTTTCTCTCCCTTCCTGCTTATGAAAAAAAAAAAATTAGTGTCCAGAAATCTTTGTTATTTCTTTGACATTTTGTTTTATTTTCAGCTTAATTGCCTGTTGATGTCAAAGCGGATTTTTCCGATTTCTTATTTAAGTCTCTTAGTTATCAGTATAGGGAAAGGGAGAGAAGAAAGAAAAAACCAAACCTTTCCCTTTTCACTTTCCTTCGCTGTTTCCGACTCTTCTTTGGGAGCGATGTTATTTTTTTGTAAGTTTAAATTCCAGGGTACCTTAGTTGTTGCTTTTGCAATTTAACCCAGTCAGCCAAAACTTTCATTTCTTATCTTCTCCCTGCACGTTCTTTTCTGGTCGAGTTCTTCTTTGTGGTGGCCATTTCTGACCACCGCTGCAACCGCCCTCAGGGAAGGGAGTAATGGCCAGCTGAGGAGGAGAGATGAGGCTCTCTTCAACCCTGCTGGCAGTCTCCCCCCTCTTCACCACCTGTACGGGGTGGCTTAGCCCAAAACCAGCTGGCTCGGGGCGCTTCAGCAGCGAGCCCAGACCGAAACCACGCATGATCACGGATTTCTGTCTGTCGCTGAAGGAACTCAAACCGGAAGCCCAACACAATTGTTGATAGTGTTGCCTTGTGAAAGGGGCATCACTTGTATAAACTGATATGATGAATAAAGTGTCTATAAAAATAATCTGAACAAGCAAGGAGACAAATAAAATGGAATGACAAACTTTGCTCTTTAAATTCTAATTCTAATTCTTTCTCAGTTTATTGAAACTTTAAAAATAATGAAGTTGGGAACTTTGAGACGTCAGATAAAGAGGACCATCAAAACTCACTGTCCTTCTTGCCCTAATGTTTAACAAAAGGTGTTGGGTTGCTTACATGCCTCCTTGACTCTTGAGTGACTTCTGTTGAAGCTTCCATATTTATGCCACCTAGATTAGAAAGCATTTAGAAAATAGGAGGAATACATATTAAACATGAATAAAATTAAAGAAAAATAAGTATGCTATATGTCTCTGAAACTGAGATGACTGTGTGTGCATGCACGTGTGTGTGTATGCATATTCCCCATTTTGACTACCTAGATTTTGTCATAATCTCTCCCTTCTTTATGTCAAATCTATTAACTACATTTAAATATATGGAGAATGACAAGGTTCAGAATGTATGTATTATTTTGAACTTGATCAGAGGTTGGTTTATCTTTACATAGAACAAACCATATAGAATGTGATTTATTCTTTCACATGGGACAATATATTTTTTTAAAAAACAAAAAAGCTATATAATAATAAAGTGAGTTATTGAGTTTTACAAGATAGGAACTGGATACTGACCCATAACATCAGTAGGGATTCTCAAATCAAATATGCCATGTGGGAACAAAAATTATTTCTCCAGTCATTGTAAACATGTTGACTTATACTTTATAAAGCTTTATGTTGAATCCCAAAGGAGAGCATTATTTGCCATGCTGTCTTTCAAAATTATGAATATCTTCTTCATGCTAGAAAACTAAATATTTAATAAACACCTTATAAAAAATTTCCTCATAAGATACAATTACCTCAGAATAAATCAGTTCAGAGTTTTCAGTTGGGACTTGAATAACTAAGTTCAAATTATACCCTGGGTACATTATGCAAGAAGTATCATGTTGGGAAAGATGGAGGGAAAGAGAAGGCAGCAATAAACTGCAAGATGGAGGGATACATTTATTATAGCTGCAATGGGTGCACTATTGAAAGACCTGAAGTAGATATTCGTCCCATTCTGTGTGTGTCAGAGGCTCCATTTAAAATGCTTCTGTGTTGAAATGATTAGCTGATGACATCACCATTGCCCCGGGGATGCATTTGGGGTTCCTTTCATGTCCTTCAAGGGACTGGAGCAAATGACAGGAGCTCACCCCATCACACAATAGCACTCACATCTTCTAAGTGGGGTTGCTAACCTCCAATCTATTGCCCTAACCATGTGAGCCATGCACTCCAAAGGTCCAGAATGAATATGAACATCTTGGTAAAAGTCTACATTTCTGCCCGCTAAGAGTTGATACCACCATGATGGCAATAATTAGTCAACAGGAGATAATCCTATCATGACAATAGGAAAGGGTGCAGAAATATTGTCCTTGACAATATGGCTACTTCAACTTTATTATTCTCCAGAAAAAAGGGATACTTCTGAACTTTTAGTGAAAGTTTCTTATCAAACTCTGAAGAGCTAGCTGGTCTAGGTGGGGAGTTTAGCTCATCAACAACTGAAGGCCTTATGTTGCCTATATATTTTTTAAACAGAGATATCAATATCTATCAAATAATTCTAGCTCAGATAAACTTTGTTTTTAAAACTGAGCTTCCTCTCAAGAACAAGACAAATTTATTCAACATGATACAAATACAGAAGAAGTAAATAAGCATATTCTCAGCTAGATGGCAGTATTTACCTGACCTTGACTTAAGCTAAACAGGGTTGGATTAGTTTAGAATTTGAGACTACCAGGAAAAACTAGGATTGTGGGCTAGGCAGGAAAAGGTGAGAAACATCCTGGCAGGATGTAATGGGAAACTGTCTCTGTAGTGTTGCCAAGGGAACTAAATGGATGTCTTCATAAAGTCGCCAGGAGTTGAGTTCTCCTTGAAAGGGATTTTACTTTAAATAAGCATATAATTATAGTAGTGGCTGGCTTTAAAATAGAATATTAGCCAACCAAAATTCAGACTGGTTAAAAGTTTTAAAGCTTCATTAATCTCAATAGGAGGTAAAATGTAAGGTAGGAAAGATCAGAACAGAACAGAATAACTAAGTTGAAAGGGATTTTGGAGATCTTCTAGTCCAAGCAGGAAATCCTATACCATTTCAGATAAGTGGTGGTCCAATCTCTTCTTAAAAACCTCCCACAATTTCTGAACGCAAGCCATTCCACTGGTTAATTGTTCTAACTGTCAGGAAATTTCTCCTTATTTCTGGGTTGGATCTCTCTTTGATTAGCTTCCATCCACTGCTTGTCTTGTCTTGTCTTGGGATGCTTTGGAGAATAGGTTGACCTTTTCTTCTTTGTGACAGCCCTTTAGATATTGGAAGATTGCTATCATGTCACCCCCAGTCCTTCTTTTCATTGGACTAGACTAGGGCTGTCAAATTCCTGGCCCTCTGGCCAGATGAGTCACGGGCTGGCCACGCCCATGCCCAGTTTAACAAAGGGGGGGGGGAGTCCCAATACATCACATGATGCCTCTGTGATGATGTGAGTTTGACACCCCTGGACGAGACATATCCTTTTACTGCAACCGTTCTTCAATTGTTTTAGCCTTCAGTCCCCGAATCATGTGTGTTACTCTTCTTTACACTCTTTCCAGAATCTCAACATCTTTTTTACATTGTAGCGACCAAAACTGGATGCACTATTTCAAGTGTAGTTTTACCAAGGCATTATAAAGTAGTATTAATACTTCATGCAATCTTGATTCTGTTCCTCTGTTAATGCAGCCTAGGACTGTGTTGGATTTCTGGTGGCTGCAGTATACCACTGGCTCATATTTAAGTGGTTATCCAACAGAACTCCCAGATCACTCTCATAGTTGCTGCTGTTGAGCCAGATGCCACCTATTCTATACCTGGTTTTTCTTGATTAAGTGTAAAACCTTACTTTTCTCAACAATGAATTTCATTTTGTTTGATAGGGACCAGTTTTCAGATGTATCAAAATACTACTGGATCTTTAGCCTCTTTTTTTGAGGGTTGGCTATTCCTTCCAGCTTGGTGTTTTCTGCAAATTTGACAAGTTCCTCTTTTATCCCATCTAAATTGTTTATGAAAATGTTGAAGAGTACTGGACTCAAAACAGAACTTTGAGGTACTTCCCTGCATACTTCCCTCCATGTAGATGCAGTTCCATTAAGGACTAGAAATTGAGGCTGGTTGGTCAATCAATTACCAATCCATCTGGCGATGCTGTGATACTTGAGGGTGTTAAACAATTTCCCCTTGATTTACTGCAAGAGATGAATTAGAATTCTCTGTTTATAAGCAAAAATAAAAGGGATGATAAATAAAAAGGATATTTGTGATTATTCCTTCTGAAGTAGATTTGGGTTCATGCCCAGTGATTTCACTGGATTAAAGAAAAGAGGCCGAGCTTAATAAAAGAAATGGCTATTTTATTTGTAAGGAGGAGCTTAACTTGTTAGGTTGCAAAGCTCACTTTCAAAGGCTATGGACAGCTATAACCTCCACAGTACCTTTTTTTTTCTTGTCACAGGTACAGAGATTGCACAGCTTTTCAGTGCTACCTGAATTATAATTAGAGTTTTCACAAACCTGGTGGAAGGTGGGCTGCAGTATCAGAATTGGTCCTATGGTGTTTTACCTGATAAAATTACATATTCCTAGATTTTTAATTTAATTCTCTGCGTATGTCAGCTCTCTCAATTATGACAAGATACTTCCATTAATCCTTTTAACTAATTCAGGGTTGGGTAGCAAACCAATAATACATTTAAAATGATAGGCAATGAATATTTTGAATGCAGCAGCAGTAATTCAAATCTGGCATTAAAAAAAACCATGACTGTCTGCAGAATGTTGTTAGCTGGCTAATATATGAGCAAATAATCACAGTTTAGCAGTCATGTACTTGACAGAACTTTTGAACTTCCTTTATGGTAGTTGACTTCCAGTTTCTGAAAAAAAAATTCCTGAAAAGGAAAAAGTGTCATGCTTCACTCACAATATTATGTGTTTATTTTACCATTCAGGCATCAATGATTTTCACACACATACACCTATTTTTCCTTCAAAACAATCTAATAATATTATGGCTGAAAAAGTAAGTGAACCAAGGTCATCATGGCTGAATATGGACTGGAATTTGTCTATTAAACTCTTTTCATCATGATCTATAAAGACACCAATAGTCATAACCAAGAATCTGAATGGATGCTGGTCAAAAATAACTAAGTTGTTATGAGGTCTTGGGATGCATAATGGAGTTCTGCTCAGTAAATTCCACAATAGGGCTTTGCTTCTGATAACTTCAGTAAATTGTCAACCTTATTTTTGTATGCATCTTAAAAGTATTAAGTTGTTTTACCTATGGTTACATATACTAGCAAAGAGAGATATCACACCTTTACTGGAGTTCAGCTACAAATAATATCCATCATTTATATGCAAATTTCCAAAATACGTTAACATTTACTGGCACACTTTCTTTGAGGGAGCAGAAAACGTTACTTCTTTCTTCTTTCATTTTCCATATTATACAATAAAATGTTCTCTATGTTATAATCTCTTAAAACTAGTCCTCACACTTAAGAATAAAACATCTGCAAAAAGTAATGGTGGATAATAAAATTTAGCAACAGCCAAATTCTTGCTTCTGGTTAGACAAAGAGTTCACAGCTTCTTTCCAACATTCAGAAGGTAAAAAGTGGCAAAATGCATGAACAGGTAAGCAATAGTGACGGGATTTACAAAAGCAACAAGCAGAATCTTAAATTGGTTGCAAAAAACAGTTATTCAACAAGCACCAAAAAAATCCCACAAGTACATACACAAGCAGCAAAGTCACAACTTGAACTTTCCTGCACTAAAGGAATGCCCTTGGGGGAGGGGGGAATGCCCTTCAAATGTTGGCTTTGATATATTGCACATTATCTATCAATATTTCCTCTGCTTCTTGATATTCACATCAGGACATTTCCTCAAGAAGACACAAAGGAAGTGAAATATTTTCATGTAGTTTGTCCCATAAGATGGAAAAAATGCAACTTCTTCAGTGATGTTTGCTCAAATTTTATCTTCCTCCTCAGCCATATTCCTACCTAACCAGTGGCTTTCTCCCACTTTTGGAACAGCTTGCCTGTCCTCCTGGCATGTTGACTGTGCCAGTTCAAAAATCCACACGTCAGAGTCTCCATAAGCAGTGTTAGCTGTCCAAGTGATCAGTGAAGGTCACTCTCTGCTGATCTGCACCTCCGCTCTGCTGAATACTCAACCACACACACAAAAGAAAGAAAGAAGATGGAAAGGAAGTTATTGCTGGGTTCCATTGGAATCCAAGAGTATCTTAGGTTCTGGTGGAAAAGGAAGGTTAAACAATCTGCACTGTTTTAGCAATGAGATAAATCTTAGTATTTTGGACTACTGCTCAGAGCTAATAAGAAATAGGAGGAGAATATTCTTCTGTGATTGCACTTAAGAGTGTAGAAATGAATATTAGCAACCAAAGTCAGTCGCTGGGGAATCCTATCATTAATTTTATTTTACTGAAAATTATTTATTTACGTCTTAGATTTGCAAAGTATAAATGCAAACATAAAAACAATATTTGATTAAAAACAAGTGTGGGTGGATATAGAAACTACCTGGGTAGAAGGTAAGGATTTCCAGCAACTTTAGACATAGTTATTGCCTTTCTGGGCAAAGTGAAAGAAATAAGAAAAGAATTATGTACAAGATTTCCTTGATTTTATTCAGGATACATATCTGAGTTTTCAGAGAATTGTTAAGGGCACTCAAAAAGTACTCCTGCTCTGCATCCATGGCATATATCAAATTAAAATTTCATTTTAATGTGTTTCCATTCATTTTCTAAAGGTGTTTCCATATGCTGTTCACTACATCCTGGGACATAACTAGGAGTCTGAAATACCTGAGAGTCAAGTTGCAAGCATTATTTCTCCAAAGTCAAAGTTCCTTACATGTAAATGAAGTTTAAAACATGGATGATTAAACTTAAGCACAGCTTAAGGATATATTTTTTCTACCATACAAGGAACATCATGTAAATAACAGCTGACACCTATTTTGCATTCTAGTCTGCATGATGATAAATCAGGACAGAAGCTCAGAGGGACACTGTGTATGTGCTTGGCACATATTCTTCTCTTCGGAACTGCCCTGAATTGTTATTCACCTCAAGTAAATACATTTTAATAAGACTTATTTTTTATTATTGGTTTTGTCTGTGCCTGTAAATCAGATGTGGGAAAATTATAGAAAAAAGGACTCTGATTTAATTTACAAGTAATGCCACTATTATAATATATATCAGGTACAGCAGGATCCCAATATACAGTATATCTATTCTTATGTGGAACTGGATTGGAAAGCAAATTAACATTAGGTTTGGTGAGGAGGAGGAATGGACACATTTGAATGCAACATTTGGTATACAAAAAATAATTCCCCATACAGATATTTTATGAAATGGTTGCCCACCTAATTTTTCTGCAGATTTTTTTCTGAATATGCTCCTTGCAGTGCAGTTTTTTTAAAAAGCTTAAGTTTGTTTCAAGCTTCATAATGTTGTTCATATTGTTCTTAGTGATCTCTGGCCAACGCCTTAAAGATAGGGTTCATGGTAGGGTTTGCTTTATCACGACTTACTGAATAAACCATACTTCTTTGAGTTTATACAAAGCTAAAAGTGATGATTTAGTAATATTTGTGGCTTAGTTCAAAATATCCTAAGCCCCACATGAACCAATTGCATTATGGTTTAAACTAATAGAAGAATGCAGGCTTAGTTTAGTGTTTAAAACATTTTCCCTGAGGAAAAGTGTTTATCTTTAAACTGATTAAATTGTGGGGGGAAATATAAGAAAAAAAAACATACCTTGTGAAACTTGGTTGATCATTCAGAAGAAGTGAAACATAAAAGAGAAAAACAAGTCATAATTATAAGAAATTATTCAAAAAAGAACAAAATGGAAAAACATAAGTACAGTGATTAGCTACTCTGTTTATTAAAGAATTGTATTTTAGAATTGAAGCTTTTTTTTTTTTTTTTTGCAAATCCCTAATTAAAAAGAATTTAAATTTGCTTATAGAAAATGAAGCATTTATTAAGAAATTACACATTTATAAACTTGGATATGCCTTGAGGGAATCTGCGAAGGAAAATAACCCTGGGTTTGTAAGGATCAGGTCAATTGAAATCTTGACTCAACACAAGAGCAAAAGTAATAATATCATGAATAAAACTGTAATCACAATGTTTTAAATTAATACAATATGACAATACTTCATACCCTAAGTACAATTCTAATTGCTATCTTTCCAAAATAATATTATAATGCTAGAAATGTATTAAAATGGCAATCCAAATGAGGAATTAATGGATTAAATGTGCTACCAAAGGCACATTAGCTAGCATAGAGGGGGGGGGGGGGAACTTATCAGAGAACATGACAGAGTGATAAAACGTCATGTATAGTATAGAGGGGGGAAATTTTCCTATATATAAGGAGTTAACGTTAAACTAGTAGAAAGTGATTAAAGTTATATTTTTTCTCATAGTTAAAACTATGAGAAACTATCAAACTTAGAATCACCTGATGACAGTCCCCAACTAAGATTATTATCTCAGGATATTAATAAAATGTGTCCAGGATCAGAGGAAGGTTGCCTATGGGAAGGCCCCTTTCAGTTGAAATTCAGGCTTTACACATGTCTCAGGTGGCACTGGTCATATTTATGGACCATCTTTGACAATATTGGAATATAGGAGGCGTAATTCTGCATGCCCTCCTTGACACCTCAACAACTTTTGATACTATTAGTCATGGTATTCTTCCAGACTGAATCAGAGTTGGGAATGGAAGGGACTGTGCTACAGGGAGTCCTCAAATTACAACAGCAATTGGGACTGGGACTGCCATTGTTAAATGATACAGTTGTAAAGTGCAACAACATGTGATCAGATGACTTAGCAACACCCATCCCAGCAATCCAAGTGGTCATCATAACCCCAGAAGGTCATTAAATGGAAACAAGGGAGTCCCTAGCAAGAAGCAGGGGCAGGGGGTGCTGGTGAGAGCGTGCTGGTGCCACAGGAAGACACTATGTTATGTGGGCAGAATAGCAGGGCTGCAGGAGAGCTGTCAGAAGCCTCAGGGGGGTTACCAGAGGTTGCAGATAATGAAATGGCATGTGGGAATGAACTTGGGAGGCAGGGCAAAGAAATGCAATGCAAGGAGTGGCCAGATAAGAAAGTGCATAGATTGCAGCTATAGAGCAAGGTAAAGCAAGAAGCTTAAAATGAATCCTCCCGGAGTTCTTGGGCTGTAAAGTTGATGGCAGGAAAACTATTTTCAGATTTGCAAGATTCTATTGCGGTAGCTTCATAATAAAGTAGAATTAGTTTACTTGGTTGTGTTTCCTGTCTAGTCCACTTGGTAAGGCTGAAAAGTGGATTCCGGAGAACACAAGTAAGCTAATAAGGCCTGCAGTTGGATGCCAGGGAGTGTGGGCAAGCTAGAGAGGGACTCAGTGGGTGATGGAGAACATAGGCAGGCTGGCAGAAGGTGTGAGCAGGCATGCACTATGGAGTGCAAACAGGAGGAGGGCACTAAGGTATATGGTATCTCTGTAATGGGCTCCCTGGAGAAAAAGAGGTGAGGGCAACTTACTGGACTCTGCTTATGGGAATCTGACAGAAAAGTTCAGAAGTGGCGATCACATGACGCAGGCTAATCATAAGCCAGGCTCTCAAGTGCCTGGATTGCAATCATGGGACCGTGGGGATGGCTAGAATTTTAAGGACCAGTTTTAAGTCCATATTTCAGTGTCAACATAACCTTGAACAGTTGTTGAATGAATGGCTGAAAATTATCATACTGTAGTTTCCATGTTTCTCTGGGATTGGGTCCAGTTGCGTTGGGAGAGAAAGCATCCTGACACCTGAAACCCTCATTTTGTAGGATCCCTTAGGATACAACACATTCCCCATTCTGATTTAACATCTATATCAGGGTATTATGTGGCATAACCTGGAAACACTGTTAGGGAGTGTCAATATGTGGGTGACATCCCATAGTGTATTTCAATCCCAAGCTCAATGGGCAAATATGCCAATGTTTTGTCCTAGTGCCTCAAGGGTGGATACAGAGGAACAGGATCAGGGTCAACCTGCCCAGTCCTTAGCAGCAGGGGAAGCAAGAGTCACATGAAATAAGGGGTGAGGATATAGACCAGTGATTCCCAAACTTTTTCAGTCCACCACCCCCTCGGTGCCCTCCACCCAGGGGTGGGGTTCAAATTTCTGTGGGCGTGGCCTAATTTGAGAGTGTGGCTTGCAGGTCTCGTGACTGGGTAGGCATGGCTTGCTGGTCATGTGACTGGGTGGGCGTGGCCAGGTGACCAGCAAACCAAATACAAGTGGACCTCACTTAATGGCTGGTTGTTTAGCAAGTATATTCTAATTTATGACTGGCCTCCCCAGAGCTACTTGACCTGTTTTTGGAGTTTTGACAGCCATGCACATACATACACACACACTCCCTTCTAACCCTGCTGGAGCAGGTCATTGGACTAGAATC